GAGCGTGCAGTGATCTACGGCAGCGTACCACGAGCCTGCTATTTACTGCCACTGAGACGGAAGTCAGCGCTCCCACACCCTGGCAGCAAGATGTGGGAGCTGAAAGCCGCTCTGGAAGCATGTCATTTTATACTTCACCATTTTGAGAACCCTTTTTTTCTTCTTTTTTCTTTTTTTTTCTGGGAAATCCTTTTCCTGATTTAATATATCTGAGAAACTATGCAGGCAATTTTGAAACGTAAGATCACACTGCTAGAGCCAAGCAGCTCTCAAGGGCAAAGCTGCAGTTCCAAGCAAATGTGTTTAAGGCTTTGTGGTGTTAACAGTCTCTCCTCTCCCCCTTTGGATAAATGGAAAATTTCTGTAGGCTCATAAGAAGCCAGGTGAAGGAAAACTTCTGAACCAGAAGAGTAGGTGTTAAGTGTACGAGTCCGATTACTCTGCTGATTTAAATTAGTTTAGCACCAGTGGAACTACATCCAGTTAAAATTAGCTAAGGCTCTAGCCCACAGTACCGTGTCAATGAAGATGATGATTAGCATAAAAATGTGTTTAAATATATAAAATCTATTTTCAAGTATACCTTTAAGGTCAAATTCTATCGTGATCAGAGTGAGGAGGGCAGGGTAAGGTGCTGGTAGATAGATGCTACAGTGACAGGGGAGCGATAAAAACTCTTAAGGCAGAAAGGAAGGTTAATAGCTATGCCCCTTGCCTCAGGAATCCTGACCAGAGCAGGAAATCTTGTGCTGGACCATTATGGGCAGGGGAGCTCACAGTGGGATATATATTACTTCTGCTCCGAACTGGAGCGTTCTGCATGTTGTATATTTTTACGACTGCAGTGTATGGACTGGACAGCTGGAGGTTTGGGCCTGTAACTCAGCAGATGCTGACCCCAGGACATACGGGTTGGCTCTGTAGGTGGCCATACTCCTACTTATTTCCATTACTTCTGGGAGAAATTCTGCTGACACAAGCAGAAAAAACTCCCTTCTGCCCCAACACAGGATTAGTCAACATACACACACACGCACAGAGAAGCTAGTTGTGAGTTTAGCGTGTGCCACTTAATTTTCTAATTTTGTTTACCATAACTATCATGCTAAATCCAAGCAGACCTTAGTGTTTCCATTTATTTGCTTTAGGAAACCTTGACACCAGAACTGGAGGGTTAAAACTGATCCTGCTTGGACATAAAGCATGTAGGCAGGCAACACTAACACTGCTAATTTTAGAAACTCATGTTGCTCAAACTTGAAAAAATAACACTCAACAGAATATTCTTCCTAGCTTCATTCCTTTATCATAGTAGGACTTTGGCACCAAGACATTTTTTGCTGGTTCTTTGAATCGCATCAAGCTAGAACAGCTTGACAATCCACATCCTGATGGAGAGACTAAACTTTTAACATCAAGGATTATGTTGCTGATTAGCACTTCCAATAATCAAGTAATTGGTACATTAAAAAATCCACAGTTTGGCGACTTGCCCGAAAAGGTCACGCTTGCATTGATTCCTTTTTAGAGAGTCCATGTTGCTATTACATGAATTCAATCTGTCTGTCCAGAACTCTAGCGTAAAAATATTTGGCTAATTTCCTCCTTTTCATACAATTTGACGGGAAATAAAATCCAGGAAAAGTTGCACGTTAGGGCAGTATGTTCAGATTTTCCAATTAAGGTAGGAGGGGAGCAAGAGAGAAGATGACAATTCTCTGGATTTTTTTCTTTTCCCAGGCTAGCCTGGGCAGTGCAATCAACACAAACTTCCAAGGGCCCAAGTCAAGACAATTATTAGTGCAGCTCCTACCCTCTTTTTATTTTAGCAGAATTTCTATGAGGATGGGAGTCTCTCGTGAGGGATCCTCCCTGCAACTGGACTGCCGAAGGAGCAGGGCTTTTACCTCCGCCCTTCCCCAGGCCTGGGCAGGAGGAACTCACAGCAACGGCAGAGGTCACGGCTGCAGCGTAAGGGGCTGCGGCGATGCTCTGCTCCCCCTGCTCATCCCCTCTGTACAGGCACGGGCAGGCTCTGAGCCCTGTGCAGCCTTCACAGACAGGCTGCTGGGAGGCCAGAAATCTAAGCAGACCCCCTGCTTCCCTGGACTGGCTATTGCCAGCACTAGTGAGAGGAGGGCTCTGCATGAAACCAAGGAGGCCTCACCTCAAATCAATCATCAGAGCTGCACAAATCATTTGTGCGTGCCTTGAGAGGCTCAAAGCCCACCGCATTTCACTGAGGTACCCACTGGAATGAGATGATTATCGTGCTGTTTATTTCTGCAAAGTATTTTGTGTATCCTCTTTCCCTTGAAGCACAGAAGGATCCTGGTCTCATATCTCTTCTGCATAGAGGCTACTTCTTTTCTTTTTGTGGATAAAGGAGGGGATGAACACAGACTGACTAATAAACCTCACCATGCCATGCTCTGCTATTGCACAAACCCCAGAGGCACGGCAGACACCTCGGCTGGGCTTTTTAGCTTTCAGTGTCTATGGGGACATCTATGTCTGTGCCAGTCACCCTAAGTTTCCTCCACAGCAGGGAGAAACAGGCACTCCTAGGGCACAATTCGTCTGAGCTGTCTTAGCTGTCGACTTCAGGATGAGCTCAGCTGTCTCTTTGAAGTGCCTGCTTCTCTAGGTTGATTTTTAAGAGAGGTTAGACAATTAGCTCAGCTGTGTCTTCATTCCAGATGTCTATATTGGGTCAGATTAATCTTGCCTGGCAACATGAAAACTTTCCTTGGTGAATGGGAAAATGGTTATTCCTGAGGATAACCACAGTGGCAGTTATTGACATTTAGAGAATACAAAGAGCTGAGGACAATAACTGAGTACTAAAGCATCCTTCTTGTCTTTTCAATGCAGCTTGTTCAGTTTGCCCACTTTCTATGTCAAATACTATCCGGGAAGTGATGTCACGTCTAATCGTGTCAACAGGCAAAAATACACAACTCAGTGAAGCCAGAACTCTCTCTGAGTTACAAGGCTTTGGCTCTGGATGATGCTAAGCCCTTCTTGGGACCCAAAGGACCTTGGTTACTGCAGCTTGGATGGTCTGGGCAAGCACAAATAGATGCTAAGAACCAGCCTGTCTTTGACTACAGTGTCAGCACACAAATGTGCAAGTCTCTTAGCGCTGCCTTGAAACAAACCACAGCTATGGGGAGCTTGAGCAAGGTGGGAAAGGATGGGTTGACCATGGCTCTCCTAGAATTAAATAGAAGGGATACAGTCAAATAGTGGCCTTCTCAATAGATCAAATCATGACCCCTAGGTAAAAGCATGCGTACGCTTATGAAGAGCCAATCTTTCAAGCTCCAAAGGTGGCACACTGGAGTTTGCAATAAATATCTCACTGATGAGAGGGACGTATATTCCATCCATACCTCAGGGGTGCATAAGGGGATCCCCACTAGCAGGGCCTCGGCGTGCGGAAAGATTTTAAATATTCATTTGACTTCTGAGTTATGGTATATGTTGGTTATTAGTCCAAGAAAGCTACAGTTGTCCTCTGTTCTTACAAATGTATCTTCTAAATGTGTCTGCACATGCCGAGAGCAAAGAATAATGGTTCTGTTCCACCGAAGAAAGTAAATAAATACTGTTTGTGATCAAGGGAAGTAACGTTTCTGGCACTGCAGCCAACACAGGGAACACGGCGTTAACAAGTAAAAAGGGAGTCCTGCCTACACTGCGGCACCTTTGATGGTGCAATTAGCCTGCACTGATGGAGCAGGGAGATGTTGCAATGGCCCAGATTCCACAGCCTGCGCTGCTATCTACGGCTGTGGGTGCCAAGCCCTTTGAGGCAATATTCGTATTGCACCGCTGCAGTCACTATTTGTGCTACCAGGGACAGGGATTTACTGGAGGCTACAGAATATTCCACGGATTGTAATGAAATTTGGCATGACATCAAGCCACATCCGGCAAACCGTCAGTATTTTACTGCTGAACAGATTTCTTGCAACACCCACCATTTTCCCTTTTCCTGAAAGAAGCTCTCCACGCTTCTGAATCTAAACAAATGCAATTATATTTGTTTCTTGCTCACAGGTTTGAAGCAACAGACATATATTAAACTAACAGTTTTACAAAGGCGCTGTTTTATCACAGGGATTCGGTAGGCTGGGAATAGGGAACGGGGGCGGTGGGTTTCTGCCTCTGGAACACTGTCCTTGGACAAGCCACGGTTGTTGGTGGACTTACCCATGTCTCTGCCTTGCTTTGCAGCCCTACCAGGAACCATGCACAAATAACAACTGCAGGGCTGGGGGAAACCTCAACTGCTTTTCTAAGGTGGGAGACTTGCACCGAAGGCAGATACCTCAGGTAAGAGAGTGAAGCCCCATGGCAAAGGTCTGGCTGAGATTAGCTACAGCAGGCAGGTCATGAACAGCAGTCAGTCCCTAAGCACTGATACCCGAGGAAGGAAAGGTCAGGGAGAGGGGGTTCACTCCCTGGAGAACAGCCCAGCTGGAAGCCAGGGTGCGGTCTGGAGGCAGACCAAAGTGAGATGGGTTGGAGATGACCATTTGGTAAGTCAATTGGATCTGAGCTAGCAGGAAGCAGCTGGGTCATCCTGCTCTATGCTATGCTGTAGGGCAATTTCAATCATGATCATGAAGGCTTGAGTTGCTGCGTAACTCAGCTGGAATAAGTAGGCAGATTAATGGCCCAGACCTAAACCATATCCTAGGCAGAAAACCACTGACTTTGACATACACAACACAATAATTTCACAGCCAGCACCATCACGAAATGTTCTGTGAGCAAAAGTGTAATGAGGCTGCTGATGGAGTACTGACAAGTATAGATGCAATGCAACACAAAGAACAATATTAAAACATAAATACCAATAGTTTTCTGAAAGTGCTGATAAATTGGGATCTGTATCTTTTTTCACAAGGGTCACATCCACATGAGTTTGACCTCATACCTGAAAATACTCATTCTACTCACACAGAAGGCAGTAGTGATTACACAAACCTTTACTTATTCTGATTTCGAATTCGGAGACACCTCCTTTTCAATGGTGGCTCCAGATCCTCTGGCCCTGTGCTGAGTATTGGCGTTGAGATAATGCACGGCGCGATAGCAGTCTTTTCTGCTGGTTTTGGCACAGGCTGGATCACGCAACCTGTCTTGGGCAGCATCCGCAAAGCATATGCATGGTCCTCGTCTGCTGGGTTGTTAAGGTTCGGGTCCTGTTTGTCTCCCCCAGCAAGGGGCTCTTCCCCAGTCTTCTTGCCAGCATCTCCCTCAAGGTGGCAGTTTGATGCGCAGTTGTTCTCCTTAACGGACTCCAGCTCGCTCACCGCCAGCTCCTCTGGAGGCTGGGGCTTTTTCGGATCCTGGGGTGGCTCCGGGTTCTTGGAACCCTCCGTGCTCTTCGTGCCATTCACAATGACATTGCACACTGCTGCACCAGCTTCCAGTCCTGGCGTGCCGGAGGCCAAGGAGACAGGACAGCAGTGAGATCCGTCACTGCACGGTAATGTTTTTGAGTCAACTGGGCTGCAGTTGTCCCTGCAGTCACTGCAGTTCCTTTTGTCTGAGCTACCAAAAGCCAAATTTACAACACTGTTAGGTTCACGTTCAACTTTCACTTGGGCATGTAAAGCCCTGTGGATAACATTGTGCAGCCTAGACCGGTGGCCTACTGTTAGGTCTATCACACCATCCTGTGGACCCTGTAGCACACTGGGGAAACCAAATTTACTGTTCACTGGACTACTAGGTCTGACAGTCAAGTCAACGACTTCATTTTTACTGTGCTCCTGAAGCACTTGAGCTTGATTTAGGGACTGGCCTGAGCAGCTCGGTGACGAGTCAGAGGATTTAGACGATCCTTGCTTTGACTCTCGAGGGGATGAAGAGCTATTGGTTGGCTTTGCCCCAGGCGTCTCACTGGAGGTACTCGGAATGAAGCTTTCACCGTTGCTGGAGAAGCCATTGGGGGGTTTGGAGTCATTGATGTGAGGGATGGGGATAGGAATGGGGATGGGAACGGGCAAAGGGACAATGACAGGATATGGCACTAGTAGTGTTGGGGGTGGCACCAGCGGGGCAAGGGATGGCAATCCGAAGTTCATCATCTGTGGCATAGGCATAGGACCATTTGGCATCATGCTGACAGGGGGAAAGGGAAGACTGGGCAAAGGAGCTCCAGGAGGGGGAGGCGGCAACAAGCCTGGAGGATTCCCAGGCATGGTAGGTGTTGTTGGGGGATGGATATGAGGGGAAAGCATCGGCCTGTGCATGGGGCTAGAGGTGGGACCCATATTTCTGGGACCACCTGGTGGGGGACCGATTCCAGGAATCATTGGATTTGACAGAGGGCTGTTAGGATTTGAGGCATGGTGAGGCGGCCCACGAATAAATGGTGGACGGATTTGCTGCATAATTTGCTGTTCCATGAATATGGGCAGAGGAACTGGCCCACGGTTTGTCATCACCATGGGAGGACTGCGAGGTGGGACACCAATTGGAGGCACAATGCTAGCAGGTGGCTGGACAGAAACTGGTGGAATATTTGGATTCTCACTGATGGGAATAGGTTTGGGAACTGGCGTGGGGATTTTAGTGACAGAGCAGTTGGCAGTGTCAGACGGAGAGGCAGTGGTAGACGCTGATGGTCCAGGACCTTGAATTTGGCCAGCTGCAGACGCTGGGGATGGGGCTTTTCTCCGAGCATCTGCTAGCGGTATATTCCAAGAATCTGGAGTCAGCAGCTGCACCCCAGTGCCTTCTGCTTTATTTTCGACTGGAGGATGTAATGTACTGCACAGTCCAGCTGGAAGATTGGCCTGTGTCTCTTTGTAGAAAATGTCCATTTTGTACTGATTGAGACATTTTGCACTGCAGAACTGAAGCCTTCTTTCCCCGTCCCCAAAATCCAGATACTCTTTTGTGTGTCTTATGTGCTTACACCAGTCACATACCTACAACACAGTAATAAAATCAAATCAGGTAAGAAAAGCAATCTTCTCTTCATAGTGTTATTTCAAAAGAAATTTTTCAGTTGCTTTCTAAATACATTATTTTTCTAGCAGAAAAAAAAATAGTCATGTTTGTGAAAACTATGCTTTTTTTTTTGCTCTAAAATATTGGTGAATTGAAGGCCACTCCCTTTTCTGGCTCCCATGATCTCAATTCTACCTTATACAGTACATTATATATCTTAAACCCATAGCACAGAGAAGAATCCTCAGCTGGCACAAACTGCTATAACATGCATACATTAAGTATACAAAATCCCTAGGAGTATGGCTGTGATTACTCCTCGGTGGTAATTTGAGCACACCTGTACCACCTGCGATGCCGTGCTGCACAAGAAGTATAACTGGAAAAGGACTCAGAAAGTTGCTGGAAATGAATGCAAATCATTTCTGCTAAACTGCAGCACGCTGTAACATTTAGTATTCTATTAAGAGTATCAAATAGTAAGTTGGAAAGGGTGTGGTATTTTAAAATGGCATCATGAAGCAAAAAGCATCATTCATCCTTTGCCCTTCATTCCAAGGAGAAACTTGGAAATAGTCAGGACATTTGTGTGAGGTTTGAATAGCCCCAATCCGTGATGTTTCAGCAAGCTGGAATTATTTTCTGAGCTGTTTGCCCACTCTTGTGTACGAGGCACTTTGAGTGAGAGTAAAACTTCTTGGCAAGCAAGGGCCTATTTAGCAACTTTTCAAATACTATGGCAAAAAGTTTGCATTGCGGGCTCATTTTTGTTTTGTTTCTCTGCTTTCCATTTAATCCATTTCTGGGTTACTATTGGTGTGGTGAAGGCACAGCCAATTTTTTTTAAAGTAAGGCTGCAGAACTAATTAAGCTGTGAAAGGTTTTCCCAGTTGTAAACCACTAGACACCAAAGTTCAAAAAATAGTCATTCTAGGCTTCAGAATCCATTACTTCAGAGAAATTATTGTGATTTCATTAACACATTAATTTTGCAACACCAACAGCTCTCACAGATGGTGAAGACATGATCTACAATTCAAATATGAGTCTTGTTTGCACAAATGCCTTTCCTTCATATGGCATTTTAAACAAGAATTAATATGAGTAATCTTGCCATAGCTATAAACAGATAAACAGATGTCAGATTTTTCAGTGCCTTACTTTTTTGACAGAATTTTACACACACAAGAAACCCATTTTTGTCATTTACATTAGTTCTCAAAATACCCCGTCGACAGAGATTTTTGGTGCTTTCTATCAGCGTGTTGAGCCTATGACCATGTCAGAACACATCCTGGTATTGTTTGTTCTGCCTTTTCAAAATAGCCCATATTAGCTTGTTTTGAAATGACTCTCTCTTTTGTACCAAAAAGAAAAAGAATATGATTGCGAAAAGACTGCATTAAAAGGATAATTAATTTTAATAACTATTGGCCATATAAACAATTCCAAACAACATATGTCGGGCATCTGATTACCCATCTCATTTAACTCTCAGCTTTCCTTTAATATAAACAGTGGTGACATTTTTGAGTTTTCAGTAATATATCTTTTATATATATATATACACACACACACATACACACACACTCACACCCCTATATGCTATGGTTATTAGCCTGTTTATTTTAACTCTGCAACCTTTTGGCTATCCGGCTGGGTTGCTATCCGATTCCCTCTCCTGCCTCCTCACCCCATTCACACGCTCACACACACACTCCCTCCCTCTACCCTGAAGTTTTTATCCCAACATTTAAAGCAAACGAAATAATTACTTGAGAGGTAGCATCTATTAAGTCACCCCTGAAGTTTGGGAATGCAGGATACAGATTTTTAGCTTGGGCACACGGACGCAGCACTACGTGGGATGAAGCAGAGGGGGTGCTGGTGCTGCTCGACACGTGCAGCATTAGGACAGGCGTATTTCCAGCACGATGCTCAACGCAAGGAAGAAAATTTCCCAGTGCATTACCAACAGGGCCAGCCCTGCACTGAACACACACTGATGATGTAGCGCCCTAAAAAACATGGACAAAAAGGCCATCAAATGCTCTCTGAGCAGAGGAAAACACCTCCACTGCCGTGGCACATGCATCCCCCCCAAGGCGTAGGGTAGATGGGAAGCAGGATTGCAGGGAGGAAGGCAAAGTGGGGGCACACCCATCCTTCCAAGGGCCCCCGGGGTTTTACCAGGCATCGTCTCTCCCTCTGCTCCCCGCAGGAAGGCTGAGTGGCCATGCAGACAGCACCGGAGCTGGGCAACCCCTCGCAAATAGTGCAAACACGCAGCAGTGGGCACCAAACCACCCTGGGTATTTGTCATGGGTATGGGTTTTGCCACCCACCTGGCAAGTCAACATTGGGATGATCTGACGGAAACACCTTATAACGGACCTCCTGACATTTTCTGCCTTGCCACTGTTTTCCCAGCAGACAAAAGGGGAATTTGTGAGTCTACGCTGTGAGTTAATAAGGTACTATTTAACTCAGTAAAGCCGCTGAATTTACCTTAAAGCCATTTTTGATCAAGAGCTCACTGCTGTAGCCACAAAATGCTACCTTTTTGCACATGTGGAATCAGGGTGTAAACCACTGCGCTCCTTCTGTCACTGGCAGGGTATGTGCTTTGCCCCAAGGGCTGTGCAAAGAGGCAGGGGGTCTCCACCTGTACCCCAAGAGCTGCACAAAGAGGTACCAGGAGCTCCCAGCTGGCTCCCGAGGGAGGTTAGGAGAAGGATGAAGCCCACCCCAGCCCATCACCCACCAAAACAGTGTCTCCTTGCAGGGAAAAGACAGGAGGAGACCAGTCCTGGAGGTGGCTGCTGCAAGGGATGGGGCAGGACTCCAGACACAGCTTCTTCCCTGATTTAGTCCTGGGATGGTGCAGCTACGATTTGCCCTTCCTTCAGGGCAAAGGAAGCAAACCAACGTGCAAGCCTGCTGCCGGAGAAGCACCTGGGAAATACGAGCGAGTAAACCCAGCCTCCTTATCTTTCTAGGAAGAGCCCCCTCAGTGACTTTAATTAAACAGACTGAAAGAAAAATACAGCCCCCGAAAAACTGGTGGCATCTTTTCTAATAATTTAATTTTATTAGTTATCAGTTGAAAATTCACTGAAATACTTCACTGTTTTATTGCTGTATTGATTTGTTTATCCCAAGTGGGCTCCTATGTCACTCCTAGCTAAACAAATATTTTCTCTTCCTCAGTAAAATATTTAGAAATCCTGCTTAGAAATTCTCTACTGATTTCTCCTGTTTTCAATAATTCACCGAGGTACAAGAACTCTGATGTCTGCCTGCCTCACTCAGATATTGATCACAGACCATTCTGTATATTTTATCACTAGATAAAATTCATTAAAGCCACAGAAATTAAAGACAGCGATTCTGTTCCTCTGAACATCCCGGATGGACCAAATATCTAATAATTATCTCAGGGATTTTCTGCAACAACTCAAAGTGTTGAAGTTAACGTCAGTGAGCAATATCTATCTGCTACATCCATGTATTTCATTATTTTCTTTCTTTCTGTCTATCTGTCTAAGCAATCAGTCTATGCTGCTTATTTAAGACACAAGTATAAAACGTACATATCATACTCAGGTAACATGGCACCTTACAATACCATACTAAAAGGCAGAAAAACAGTCCCTATGACGAGGAGGAAATTACTGGAGGAGAAAAAATGTCACTTAAGAATTAATGAATCAAGTCTGTCTTACAGGATTGATCATTTAAGATGAGGTCAATGAATTTATGATACAAATGGCTATATCACTAGAGGTAATAAAACGGAGCAATATCATTCATTTTACATCTAACTAATGACGTGCTCAGAGTAATTACAGACTTCTTCTAAAAGCCTACACTGATTAGTTCAGATGTGATAGGTGAAACATATATATCTTTCTGTTCAATAAAATAACATTTTCTTATCTGTAAAACACACAGCCAAAGTCTTATTTTTTTTCAGTACTTGCATTCCGTACAGAACATCGTCGTTCTTTACAACCAGCTCAAAATCTCTCCATTCATTTATTCCTTCTGCTTCTCTTTTACTGCCTCATCCTTTCCCTTCAACCATACAACCAGGAGAAGAGCTAAACTGTTGCAGAGTGCTTGTTAATGCTGTGCCATGGATTTGGTAGTGCTTACGCACGGGAGTAGCTCCCCGGGTTCCAGCGGGATTAGTCACGAGAGTTAATGCTGTGGGATCACGTTGGGGGGGTCTGACCCAGCACCCGTGGAAAACAATGGAGAGGCTCCTCTTTAATGCAATCAATCGGCTTTGGGTCTGACGTTTAACGCCGGCCTCCGCTCACCCTGGAGTCGGCAGGAGCCTTGCCCCTGACCTCAACAGGAGCAGAGACAGGGACGGGGATTTTGCAAGGAACCACGGCAGAAAATCCCATAGCGCAAGTTAACAAAAGGAATACACGGGACGAAAATAAATGCCACTATGCCGAGTTTCCGACATTTCCTAACAAACATAGGCGAAGCAACCATTTTGTATGTTTCTACCCAAAAGGAGGTGGGACTGGTAGCAGCGTGACTGACAAGGAACGTGAACATTTCTAAGACAAAGGGACCTACAGGTCCCCTACGCACCTTCATCTCCCTTGGAAAATACTCCTAGGACTGCTCTTGGGCGAGCACGCTTCACACCACAAATGCCAGAACACAAACCCTGAATGACAGAAAGATCGGTAATAAGATAACTGCCTATCTCATTCAGCTGTAACGCAACAACCCTCAAGAAGATTAAATTTACCTAACTGGGGCATGTCCAACGCTAAACAACAGAATGAACATTTCCTTCAGCACATTTAATGTATTTATATTTTAGTGGCGGGTTGCCAGTGTGCTACTTATAAGCTCAATGACTTGATATCATTCATCCGCTTTCCTGTGAAACACGCAGCAATCTACACCAGGAGACGACTCAGAAGACACTGCATCAGCAGAAACACTACTC